TGGTAGTTGAATTTCCCACAAGCGGGCCTTAGACTTCCATAAAATTGTACATAAGCTTATTTCCTAAAAGGTTATCTCATCCGGGGTGTGTAATGAAAAATTCTATGGAAGCGTAAGGTCTACTGATATTAACGTGGGAAAATTCGACTACCATTCCTTCACTATCTTAATGAAATTGGGTGAATAAAGCACAGAAATATGATCCACTGGTAGTCTCAAAAATTTAATTTTCGATGAAAAATTTGTTATAAATATTTATTTTTTAAAAATACTGAGAATAAATAGACACGAGCGTGTCTTGCGCTTTAATGAATAATATAGCTCAAATTCATAATATTGCAAAGCATCGAATCCCAACATGAATGAGACATTAGTTCATGAACGCTCACTGTTGAATGTAATGTGAATAAGTGTTTCCTATGGAATTACATAGAATATGAAATGATCCTGCCATAACCTATATATTTATGCACGCATGAGCGTTAACTTTCAAAAAAATGTGGTTCATGTGATATAAAGGAGTTAAAAAAATAATAAACTTACTTCTGCAATAGTAATAATGAATGGATATTTCTCATGGAGGAAATTATTAGCAAGCATTAGATAAGTCAAGGATTCAGTGTCGACCGAGAGACCAAAGTATTCACCATAATGACCCGAGAAGTTTGTCATGAGACCATGATGATGATATAACATTGACATAACCCCATCAAATCGAAAGCCATCAAATCCATACTCTTCTATCCACCAACGCAAGTTTGAAAGCAGAAAGCGAAGTACTTCAAGTCTGAAAAAACAAAGCACTAAATGAAGCGCTGAGGTATCTCAAGGTAATTACTAAGAAAATTATAATAGAAATCAAAATTAAAGAAGCATACTGAAAAATAATTGTAAATTACTCAGTATAGTTAAAAAGCCGAGAATCCCAAAGCTCATGAACTCCACGGCCACGATCATGAAAGTAGCATGCGTCAGTTCCATCAAACTGATTAAGCCCATCGTTAGTATTTTTTGAAGCATGACTATGTACTATATCTAACAATACAGATATTCCCAAGCGATGTGCTTCGTCTACGAGAGAACGGAGATCATTTGGTGTCCCATATCGGCTGAAAACGTTAAGCAACACCAGTATTTGGGAGTATACAACAATTAATAAATGGTAAAACAACCAAGCATTTACCTTGATGCAGCAAAAAAATTAGTAACTTGATATCCAAATGAAGCATAATATACATGCTCCATAATTGACATTAGCTGTATGGCATTGTAGCCAAGGTCTTTAATTCGGGGGAGAACATTGTCTCTAAAATGAGCATATGATGCGACAATTTGCTCGGATGACGATATGCCTACGTGACATTCATAAATCCTTAGACTTTTCGGTTTCCCTGGTCTAGGGTGCCTCAAAACGTAGCGCTATTAAAAGTTAAGTTGTTTTAAATAGGTATAAATAGAAAGCATGACTGATTGATGGTAAAATGCCTATTTAAATCATATATTGGTGAAATAACTATACACATAATGGGGCAAAGAGCTCATGAATATAAACTACATACCTCCGAAGGGTTGTAAATTAGTTGATCATAAATAAGGTTTTTGTCCACGGCTTTAACATACGGTGCCCATGGGCTCAGTCGGTCTAAGCATCGGCCATCAGGAGTAACGATGCGAAGCTAAAAACATATTTTAGTAAATTTGGGCGGATTACCTTAACCTTAGATAAATGTTCCAGAACAGACTTTCCGTCTTTTGGAGGGATAATAAGTTCCCATTTTCCATAGTCGAGTTTTTTAAATGGGTACTCATATTCATTCCAATTATCTAAAAGTAATTAAAACAAAGGCATGTTTACTAAAATCTCCCCTTAGGTAAACCTCTTTGGCTGCAGGTGCCCATTCTTTGCAATAAACTGAACCATCGACTCGCACATGAATTCCAAATTCAAGATAGCCCTGTGTGAATGACTCCATGCCTCCAACTTGATCGATCCAGTTCTTAAAGTCTTGAAAACACTTATATCTAAAATGAAAAATTAGCCCTCAATAGAATAAATACACAAATAATATTAAATAAAACATGCGGATACTAGATGTAGCAATATAACGAAATAAGCCCGAGTCAAGTAATTTACCTCCGTTTAATTTCATATTTGTATGGCTCTAACCAAGAATCTAACTCGAAAATCTTGTGGCCTTCAGGTATTTGCACGGACTCTATTTCTTCTGGTGAGTAGAACATTTTGGCGAAGATGTGGAGGACGAAAAAGACGGGAGCGAAAAGTGGTAGAAAGTTAGTGATTTAAACGAACAATTACAGTTCATTTGAGCCAAGCAAAAAATAACTTTAG